TCCAGAAAGCTTAACACCACGGCTCCTTGCTTTCTGCAACACGCATGTGGGTTTTTCGCGCCAGCAACTCAAAATAATCGCACAAAAATAACATCAAGATTCTGCAACACAGAGGGGTTTCTGTATTTTGCCACAGCAGCAACCCAACTATGAAACTTAACACCAAGTGTCTGCTAAACAAACGTCAACCTGAACCAGGGTCCCCTGCTATCTTCAACACACATGTGTGTTCTCAGAGCAGCAACTCGACTTTCTGGAACAAAATTAACGTCAAGTGTCTGCTACACAAAACCCGAACTGAGGCAGGTCTGCAACACACATGTGTGTTCTTACAGCAGCAGCTCAACTTGTTCACAAACACTTAACACCAAGTTTCTGCTACACAAATCACAACACGAGCCAAGGTTCCCTGCTTTCTGCAACACACACGTTCTCACAGCAGCAACTCAACTTTCTTGAACAACATTAACATGAAGTGTCTGCTACACAACTCCCGTCTGAAAAAACTTATCATCAAGTTTCTGCTACACAACTCCCGAGCTGAGCCAGGCTTACAGCAGCAACTCAACTTGTTCACAAAAACTTAACACCAAGTTTCTGCTACACAAATCACAGAATGAGCCAAAGTTCCCTGCTTTCTGCAATACACCTGTGTGTTCTCACAGCAGCAACTCAACTTTCTTGAACAAAATTAACATCAAGTGTCTGCTACACAAATCCCGAGCTGAGCCAGGGTTCCTTGCTTTCTGCAACACACATGTGTGTTCTCACAACAGCAACTCAACTTTTCCAGAGAACTTAGCACCACGGCTCCTTACTTTCTGCAACACACATGTGTGTTCTCAAAGCAGCAACTCAACTTGTTCACAAAAACTTAACATCAAGTTTCTGCTACACAAATCCCGAGCTGAGCCAGGGTTCCCTGCTTTCTGCAACACATGTGTGTTCTCACAGCAACAACTCGACTTTCTCAAAAAAAATTAGCATCAAGTGTCTGCTACACAAATCCCGAACTGAGCCAGGGTTCCCTGCTTTCTGCAACACACATGTGCGTTCTTACAGCAACAACTCAACTATCTGGAACAAAACTCAACATCAAGTGTCTGCTACACAAATCCCGAACTGAGCCAGGGTTCCCTGCTTTCTGCCACACACATGTGTGCTCTCACAACAGCAAGTCAACTTCTCAAAAAAACTTAACATCAGGCTCCTTACTTTCTGCAACACACATGTGGGTTCTCACGGCAGCAGCTCAACTTGTTCACAAAAACTTAACATCAAGTTTCTGCTACACAAAATCCCGAGCTGAGCCAGGGTTCCCTGCTTTCTGCAACACACATGTGTGTTCCCACAGCAACAACTCAATTTTCTCAAAAACAAAACTTAGCATCAAGTCCTACACAAATCCCGAACTGAGCCTGGGTTCCCTGCTTTCTGCAACACACATGTGGTCACATGTGTGTTCTCACAACATCAACTCTACTTTTCCAAAAAAACTTAACATCAAGGCTCTTTACTTTCTGCAACGCACATGTGCTGTTCTCACAGCAGCAACTCAAAGTTCTCGAAAACATCGAGCGTCTGCTACGCAAACCCGGAACTGAGCCAGGGTTCCCACACACATGTGTGTTCACACAGCAGCAACTCAACTTTCTCGAAAACACCAAGTGTCTGCTACACAAATCCCGAACTGAGCCAGGGTTCCTTGCTTGCTGCAACACACATGTGTGTTCTCACAGCAGCAACTCAACTTTCTTGCACAAAATTTACATCAGTGTCTGCTACACAACTCCCGAACTGAGACAGGGTTGCCTCCTTTCTTTAACACACACGTGTTCCCGAGCTGAGCCAGGGTTCGCTGCTTTCTGGAACACATGTGTGTTCTCACAGCAACAACTCGACTTTCTCAAAAAAAATAGCATCAAGTGTCTGCTACACAAATCCCGAACTGAGCCAGGGTTCCCTGGTTTCTGCAACACACATGTGTGTTCTTACAGCAACAACTCAACTATCTGGAACAAAACTCAACATCAAGTGTCTGCACCACAAATCCCGAACTGAGCCAGGGTTCCCTGCTTTCTGCAACACACATGTGTGCTCTCACAACAGCAAGTCAACTTCTCAAAAAAACTTAACATCAGGCTCCTTACTTTCTGCAACACACATGTGGGTTCTCACGGCAGCAGCTCAACTTGTTCACAAAAACTTAACATCAAGTTTCTGCTACACAAATCCCGAGCTGAGCCAGGATTCCCTGCTTTCTGCATCACACATGTGTGTTCTCACAGCAACAACTCAATTTTCTCAAAAACAAAACTTAGCATCAAGTCCTACACAAATCCCGAACTGAGCCTGGGTTCCCTGCTTTCTGCAACACACATGTGTGTACTCACAACATCAACTCTACTTTTCCAAAAAAAACTTAACACCAAGGCTCTTTACTTTCTGCAACACACATGCGCTGTTCTCACAGCAGCAACTCAAATTTCTCGAAAACATCGAGCGTCTGCTACGCAAACCCGGAACTGAGCCAGGGTTCCCACACATGTGTGTTCTCACAGCAGCAACTCAACTTTCTCGAAAACACCAAGTGTCTGCTACACAAATCCCGAACTGAGCCAGGGTTCCCTGCTTGCTGCAACACTCACAGGAGCAACTCAACTTTCTTGAACAAAATTTACATCAGGTGTCTGCTACACAACTCCCGAACTGAGACAGGGTTGCCTCCTTTCTGAAACACACACGTGTGCTCCCACAACAGCAAGTCAACTTTCTCAAACAAAAACTTAACATCAGGCCCCTTACTTTCTGCAACACACATGTGGGTTTTTCACGCCAGCAACTCAACTTTTTCACAAAATAATAACATAAAGATTCTGCTGAACAAAAGGGATTGTGTATTTTGCAACAGCAGCAACTCAACTCTAAAACTCAACATCAAGTGTCTGCTACACAAATCCTGAGCCGAGCAAGGGCTCCCTGCTCTCTGCGACACATATGTGTGTTCTCACAGCAACAACTCAACTTTCTCAAAAAAAACTTAGCATCAAGTGTCTGCTACACAACCCCCGAACTGCGCCAGGGTTGCCTCCTTTCTTTAACACACATCAAGTTTCTGCTACACAAATCCCGAACTGAGCCAGGGTTCCCTGCTTTCTGCAACACACAGGTGTGTTCTCACAACAGCAAGTCAACTTTTCTCAAAAAAACTTAACATCAGGGCTCCTTGCTTTCTGCAACATACATGTTTGCTCTGACGACAGCAACTCAACTCATTCACATAAACTTAGCACCGAGATTAAGCACACAAAGCTCTTGGTGTATTTTGCAACAGCAGCAACTCCACTATAAAGCTTAACATCGGGTTCCCTGCTTTCTTCAACATACATGTCTATTCTCACAGCAGCAACTCAACTTCCTTGAACAAAGCTAACAGCAAATGTCTGCTACACAAAACCCGAACTGAGCCAGGGTTCCCTG